TGAAGATGGCGGGGGCGGGGGGAGTCCTCACAAGCTAAAAACCCAGGTTCAAGTTGCTGAGACCGGCAGAGAAACAGGAAAACACAGTGGTGTAAGGTAGGATAAAACAGAAAAGCATTGTGTCTTGACAGTTGTGTCAGCATCTGCTAAGACTGAAGAACTGCATATTCATTCAGTGCATATTTGAATGCCTATTATCCTGGTGTTTCAGATGCTGGGGTGAGAATGGTGAACAAAGCAGATGGGATCTCTGTCCTGAGTGTACTTTACAGTCTTTATGATCAGGTTTTTTAGGGATAGTTTACTGGGGATTCTGAATGACGTGTAGAGGTGTGTCTGCCCTTGGGGTATATAGTATTTAGAGCCTGGCACCTTTCCCCTAGCCCTGTAGTCAAAGGTGGAAGAAAGAAACTTTTTTGATCACACATACATTAGAGTCTAGGTTGGAAAAAGGGGAATCGTGCGGATTTTTTCTCTCCTCTTGTAGGTATTGGAGATTGAGAGCAGTTGGCTTCTGGAGGTGGCTCCCCACTATTATAAGGCCAAGGAGCTAGAAGATCCCCATTCTAAGAAAATGCCAAAAAAAACAGGCAAGACACGAGAAGAACTAGGGTAAAGGGGAGGGGACACAAATAGAACCCAACACCAGCTCCTTTTCCTTCTGTAACATTATTTAATTTCTATTTTTGAAATAAAGCTTGTGGGAACTTTATTTATTTTTTAAAGATTTTATTTATTTATTTGAGAGAAATGGAGCGAGAGAATTATTATCTTAAGTAGGCTCCGTGCCCAGCATGGGGCTTCACTCACAACCCCGAGATCAAGAGTCATTTGGTCTACTGACTGAGCCAGCCAGGCGCCCCAAGCTTATGGGAACTTCTGAGATGCAGAGAAGGTGACAGGAAATTCTCATATATTCACTTAGACTTTATTATTTACAAGTTAAATTACACAGCAGCTTTACACAGCATGAGATGGCAAAAAAAGGAGAAGAGGGGAGGAAGCTGGCTCCTGAGATTCTCGGCCTCCGCCCCCACCTCTTCCTCTTGTGCGTATATAGCGAAGTCTTCAGTGCTGCCTCCATCCCAGTTCCTGGATCAGGTCTTGGAACACAAGTGTAAGTTGGGTTCTGGCTCTGACAGTCCCAGAGCCACTAGGGCTCCCACTAGCAGCTTCTTCACAGGCGTTGGGGCCGAGTGTGAAGGCATCAGCTGCAGGGACAGAGGTTAATGCCAGTTGGTGGATGTTCTACACCTTCACCCCATCCCCACCCAGCCTAAGGACTCACTTTGTCTAGGCGATGGCGACAAATGAGGCCGCTGGAATTCAGGTAGAAGGTGGAATAGGCATCATAGGTCCTGGTGAAGGGAAAAAGAGAGGCTTACTGAGGGAGGTGACTGGTCCCAAAGTTTAATGCAAGCATTTGTTTAAGCCATAGTTCCTAAATTTTGCTGCATATTAGATCACCTGGAAAACTCCAAAAACTCCTGATGCCCAGGTTGTACCCTGTCCCACTTAAATCAGAATGTCTGGCACCAATATTTTTTAAAGATCCTTATATGATTCCACCATGCAGCAAAGTTTGAGAATCACTGGCTTGGGCTGAGCCTAACAATTTCCTGGGATTCTATTCTATGCCAGAAATTTACCAAATACTCTACCTAAGGCTGTGAGGCTCAACTTAGCAGACAGGAATTTTCATTTGTTCACTAAACACTTGAATGACTACCATGTGCCACATAATGTACAAAAAGGAACTGAGTCTAGAGGTTTCCTAACACACTCAAAGTCCCCGATTTCTGTTATATTAAAATAGTTCCAATTTTAGTATATGTGCTGCCGAAGCGAGCACTGTTACATTAAGTAAGTATATGTGCTGCCGAAGCGAGCACTGTTACATTAAGTAAGTATATGTGCTGCCGAAGCGAGCACTGTTATATTAAAATAGAGAAAACAAAATCCCTGCCCTCAAGGAGCCTGCAGTCAAGTCAGGGTAGATCAAGGATTGTCTGGAAGACTAGACCAGAGTCCTAAAGATAGGATTAGGAAACTGGATCTTTTCTCACTTCCTCTTACCGATAAAGCTCTTCCTTGTCACGCTTGTAGAAACGCAGAAAGAGCATGTGGATGGGCAGCCCCACAAGCCGCCAGCGGGCTTGCAGGGTCCAGTTCTCTGGGTGGCGGGTCAGCTGTAGAACCTCCAACCGAAGCTGTGCAAAATAGTTCCAGGCCAGGAAGCGGCAGAGGGTCAGTGACAGAATGTACCATGTCCGGCCCCTGGGAAGAAGGAATGGGAAAGATCGCTCATGATGGCATAATCAGAAAACCAAACTGGCCTCTGTCTGGGGAACGGGAAACAGTTGTGAGAAGTGGCAGGACCTTCTCTGGTAAATGAAAAAGATCAAGTAGAAAGCACGCAGTGCTTTTCCTCCCCAAGGCCCTACCCGTGCCTGGATTCTCACTTGGTACGGATGTTCAGGATCTCATTGATGAATTCCACATCCGATGAGTAGAGAGTATAGTCGTGGGAGTGAAGGAAGAGATTGGGAAGCTAGGTGGAAGAAGAAGGCATCAGCCCAGTAGGAAAGAAAAGATGATCCTACTTCTCAGTTTTCTCTTTTTGATGCTTCCTTACTCCCCTCTGAATAAAAAGTCATCTCATCGCATGTTTAACTTCCCTTAAATCCAAACTGAAGAACATCTTTTCCTTGGGAAATGTTTATAAGATATACACATGCCTGCCTCGTTAATTCCAAGAAAATCCAGTTGACTAACCCTCTACTTCCAAGTATTACCTACATCCCTTCTCACTGCAGATGAAAGCCACTTTCAAGCTGACTTACCTCTTGTCTCAGTCTCTCATACATGACAGCCAGGTGTTCTTCCATACTCGGATCTCCTGGTGGAGTGGCAGGGGAAGGGCAGCAGGTCCCAGGGGCTTGGAAAGGTATCAAAGCCCCAGGACAGGGGCAGGGAGGTCCCTCAAATAGGCTCCTAAGCCCATCCAGGCAGCCGCTATGCATCTCAGGTCCTGGCCCCTCCTCCCCCTTTCCTGGAGGGAGAACCACCCATGGTGAGCTGAGGGCCTGGATCTGAGGGAGAGGTAGTGGGGGAGCTGGAGGCAGCAGCCAGATGGGTGGGGGTGGGGGAGACCAGAGAAGATAAGATGGAGAAGTGGTTGTTGTGGAGGGGGGCCAAAGGGGTGGGAATGGTAGAGCCCGTGGAGAAAGCTGGTCCTAAGGAGGAAGAATAAAAGGGAAAAATATAAGAATCTAGCTGCCTGATGCCCCCTCATCTAAACTCTGTTCATTAATACGCTTCCAATCCCACCTGCTCCTCCTGACAGGAGGAAAATGGGATTAATTCATCTCCATCTCTACTGAAAACAAGAGGAAACAGGTACAAGTACTTCCCCCAAAAACGTTAGTAAATACATTTACATTTGTTTAAGATCCCAACACTGTTTAGGGGCAGTTACACCTCTCTTACAGAAAGAATCCTAATATTTTGAAAAATGAACAAAGGAACGGAGCAACAGATTTTAGTGTACTGTGGATGAAATGATGTAGCCCTTAACGAAACTCCACCATTAAGTGTGTGATGGAAAAAAAACATCCAACTGTAAGTACAAGACATTCTCCTAGCTCTGCTTACATTGTGACACCTTGGGCACTCTCATTCCCTATGCCTATCTCATAAATGTCCTCTTATAAACGAGGACGATGAAGCCACACTGAATTGTTTTGAGAACCATATGACGTAATAAATGTAAATAAAACTTCGCCATCTGTAAATTGTATGCAAATGTAAGCTACTATCATTTCGGGCTCCTCTAAAAGACACAAACAAGCCGAGACCGTTAAAGGCTGGGCTCCATTCCTCTGGTTTACCGACGTTGCAAGTGCGACGGGCGGGAGGTCACCCAAAGTCAGGCCTAGCCCGGGTCCCTCCGCTCTCAGGGAGCCCCTGGGGGGCGGGGGGGTCTCACTTCCGGGAAGGCTGGCTGGCCCTCCGGGTACCTCGGTCCCCTAGGCGCCGTCTCCGCCGGGGGCGTGGCCATTTGGCCCGGCCCGGCGCAGGGGCCCGAACCGGATCCACCCAGGCCGGCCTTCCTGCCCTGACCGCTATCCCGCTGTAAGATGCGCCGGCTGCAGAGGGCGGCCGGCAGGTCTGTCTGGTCGGGACCTGGGAATTCCGGGGCGGCTCCGCGGCCAGGCTGCGAACCTCTCCGCCCCTTGTCCTTCAAATCACCTCCAGGCACAGGTAACCGCGGAAACGCCGGCGAAATGCGGCCGCGCCCCGCCGTCCCTGGTTCACTCCCGCCTGCACGCCCTAGACCCGGGAGAACATCCCGTGCACGCCACGTCGCGCTGCGCCCTCCTGGAGTCCCCGCGACCCCTCGCCCCTCCACACACCGCCCTGCACAGGTGAGAAGGGGCGATAGGACGCCACTGCGCCTGCGCCTAGGGGCGCGCGCTCCGCCCCACACGCCGGCTCTGAGGAGGGTCTCTCCCCGCCCCCTCTCCTCCCTCCCCGTTTCCCCTCTGCTCTCACCTGGGGGCGAGCCTGGTACGTGCGGAGGCAGGGGCCGAGACGCCGGGCCGCCCCTCGGCTGGGCTGGTACATGATCTAACGGGAGCGGAGACAGCGCCTCCAGTGTCCGGCCTCTGGCCTCCTCACAGGGGAGAGCGCGCCCCGGAGCCGGCTTCTTGAAGGGGAAAGGGGGGGGGTGGGGGTTGAAGGGGCTGAAGGGAGGGAAACGGAGATGTTGCGCGCTTGCGCACTGCAGCGGGTTCCAGGGAGGCGGTGAGGCACTTTCCCGCAGTGAGTGCGCCTGCGCTTGCCGGCTCTCGAGGCCGTCTCAGAGCGCTTGCGCAGTAATTTAGGTCCTGGCGGTGGCGCTTGCGCAAAAACCTGGGAGAAAATGGGCCGGAACCAGGTACAACGAAGAGCGAGGGGTGGGGTTGAAATAATGACAATCAACTTGCAGTAGCTCTCGTGATAAAAATAAATACTTTTATTACTCAGGTTAAAAATAAAATACAAGTGACTTGGCATTGATAAAGCCTGTTGAATTAATGAATGAATGCATGAATACATCCACTATGACGGCGGGCTTTGGCTACCTCCTGTAGTGAGAATACTGACTTTGAAGGTGTGAGGGGGTGTTGCGGTCACCAAGGCCTGGTGCTGCGACGGTCCTGCAAGTTTCGAATGAACCTGGCGTTGAATATGTCCCCACCCATTGTCCAGGCCTGGGCTCGTAGGGCCTGGGCCTGGGGAGGAACTGTGTGCATGTGTTCTTCCCCAGACCCAGCCTGTGACAAGACCTGCTCCTCGCTGGCAGACCTGGTAGGTGGGAGGGAGATGGACAGTGGGTTATAGGGATATTAAAGTGGCAATTAAGAGCAGAGACTCTTCAAGGTCTGTCGGGCCCTGATGTAGAGTAGGACATATGATGGCATATGAGGCTGAAACCGTCAGTGCTACATCCAAATTTGAAACCCCTCAGTACCAAAGGTAAGCACGAGTTGAGCCTATGGGGAAAGAGGGTTTCAGGATATTAGGATGTTAGGTAGAACAGTTTGTGGGAGGAGCTGGTGTTCAGAGGAGAAAGGAGCTGAGAGTGATGTTAGGAAAAGGAGTCAGAGGTGGTGGGAGGCTGGTGGAGGAGGGGCTCAGACCTCACCTATTCTCTGTTTCCTGTTCCCCCTGCTTCGATTCTTGGTTGCCTATGGAAACACCAGGCATGTGCATGGGAAGGCTGGAGTAGGTAGTGAATATGGCCTACCTGATTTGAGGGTAAAGAGGGATGAATACTTACCTGTATTGGGGGATGAGGAACTCAACCCCCCATGGCGGCTGTAGCAGCAGCTTTGGGCTACCAGCCCTGGGGGAGCCCCCCTGTAGAAGAAATGGGAGATGATGGGGAAGAGGCTATAGGAAGAAAGATGAGTGGGTATGGAGGAATCAGAGGAGAGGAAATGAAAGGAATAGTACAGGAAAAAGAGAAGGGTAATTACCATTCCTATGGGGTTTTAAACTAAGCTGTGCCTCAGAAAAGGGGAGGGAGCTCATTTTATACCCCAAGACTTTCTGGAGCAGTTCTGGTTTGTTGTTGTTAAGGTCAAATGTGTTAAAAGTAAGGCTAAATGTGACCCAAGTTATGCCAGAAAACCAGACTCAGGCAAAAAAATTTGTTGGACCAGGTGCCCTGGTGTTTGGTTTAGAAAACATGGTTACTTTAATTATAGGATACATCAGACCAGAGGGAAATAGGGAGTGACAAGGCTGAATTCAGGCGGAAAAGGAATTGTCTTGAGAGAGGTCCAAGGATGGGGGAGAGGGCAAGAAATCAGAATGGGAAGAGGAATTCAGGGAATAGTCAGGAGACAATAAGTGGATCCCAGAGATGTTGCTAAATCTTGACATTTCAGCAATGGCTGGCCTACGCTAAAGGGTAGAAGTCACTGGGAAGAGCTGGAGGTTTCTGGAGGGAATGGGGGAGTAGACCTAGAAGCCTATACAGAGGGATCCAAGGACTGACAGGAGACAGAATCCGCAGAAGATCCAGCAGATCACAAAGGTAAGGAAGATCAGAGGACCAGGGATCCCAGGGAAAAAAATCAGGTGACACACAAATGAGGCTGAGACCTGAAGTTTGGGGTTTTTTTGATTTTTTTTTTCATTGAAAATGTCCATTTAAAAAACACAAAAGAATGCACACTTTATTCAGACAACACTGAAAAGGAGAAGGAAAAGGAGTTGGGAGAGAGGGAGATCCTGCTCCCAAGTACTGGGATGGGGGAACACAGTGGGGGTACCTGATCTACCACACATTCAGAGAGTAGGGAGGGGGAAGAGGGCCCATACCCTGGGTACGGAGCAGGGGAAGGTTCTTGCTATGGAGGAAGGGCCAGAGGAAGAGTTCCCCTATCACCTCGAGACAATCTCACAAGACTGCAATATATAATCACCTACCTACTGGGGCAGGGTGTATGCGAGAGAGGATCCCAGAAGCTAACAGATACTTGAGACTCAGGGTTTGTCTTCTGAAACATGGCTAAGAGTGATCCCAGGATACTCAGTGGGGATCTACTGCCAAGAAACAAACTTCCTCACAGAATCTGGATCTGTGGGAAGTGGTGGTATCTTTAGAAGTGTGGGGAGTCTTTAGAGCCTCAAAGCAGACATCAGCTTAGGGGTTCCCAGACACATACATAAAAAATGGGGAGATTAAGAGTTTGGCAATGTTGAGTGGATCCCTTTGGGGACTGTCTTTATCACTGAACTGCTCTGAAGCAGAGCTCGTTGGCTGTCTTCAGCAGGCTGAGAAGGTAAGTATGGTAGGCAGCACAAAACAGTATTCGAGCCACCAGTAACACTGTAGAAGGACTATGGGATTTACTCCATGGACAAGACTCCTTAAAAGGTTTCCCTGGCACAGGAGGCCCTTGGACCTTCCTAAGGTGTTCTAGATTCTAATAGCAAGCAAGAGTGTGCTTCTCTGGATAATGAGTATGAGCCACCCAACCAAGGGATCTGGCAGCGAATCAGGCTATCTTGTGGGAGTGTTCAGAGCCCACTTAGGAAAAAAGGCGTGCTTTCTACAGTAAGAAAAGCTACAAAGTATTAGGCCATCTGGGACCCTGACAACACCTTTGCCCAAGAAAGAGGAAGAGGGAATCCTACGAGCTCTGTCAGGTTCCACTGGAACCTGGGGACTACAATGGAAGAGTGGACCTGGGGTTCTCAAGGAGAAGGGGCTCTGCCTACCCCAGGTCTCCCAGGGAGGGAAGGGGGTAACTATCTGTCAGTATCGACTCTCATCAGAGCGGGGAAGGGAGCTGTGGAAGGGTGTTATGGACAGGAGAAAGGGAAAGGGAAAATGGGGGAGAGAGAAAAACAGAAAGAGAAGTCAGAGGTGAAGAGAAAGCTAGGGAGAGAAATCAAGGAGATGCCCCCTCTGTTTGCTGGGATGGGTTCCTGCTATACAAAGGACTAACATGAGGCCAGTGGCTTCCCAAACTGTCAGAAACATTGCATCTTCCCAGTAAGCATTAAACCAAGATTTCCCCAATACGAGAGACTCAGTTCCCCCCAACCCAACGGATCTGTTATTCCTATCCTTTCTCCCATCTCTCACTTTAAAAACTAGAGTCCCTAGACTCCATATAAAGTACTATTCTACTCCTTCATGTAACTTATTTCCAGACTGCTCCCACAAATCTGGTCTAATATACTCTTCTCAAAAGGTGTCAGGACTCTCCAATCCCCCTGTCCTATTGCTTCTCATCTCTGGCAGATCCAAACTGCCCTTTGCCATTGCTAACACCCTCTTTGACAGTTCTGAGGCTCCCTAACCCTCCAACTCCTATTACCTGGTGCGCCGACGTTGGGCTGGGCTGCCCCCAGGGTCGGTAGCAAGCAGAAGGCGGGCGGTAGGGTGTGGGGGGCAGAGGCGTAGGGAACGCAGCAACTCCTGCTCTGGCACAAAGGGGCGGAGGGGACCCCGTTCTGGTGAGTTTCCCAGGCTGCTGGAGCGGGGGGGTGGATGGGCTGGAGGCGTAGCACGGCGAGGGGCCCTGTTTAGGGGCCACGGAGGCTCCACAGCTACCTTCAGAACTGGCAAGAGGGAAAATACAGAGCAAGACGGAGAAAGAAGGAAAAGGAGAAGAGAGTGATGACAGCAAAGATTTGGGTAGAAAAAAGAGAAATCAGAGCCTTTAGAGAGAACTACTTGTCCTGGGTTAAGGCCCCCAAGCCCAGCCACCCTACCCGAGTCTTACATTCTCGGTCACTAGAGGAATATGGCTTAATGTCTCCCTCTGCTCTCTTGGGTGGCAGCTTTCTTGCTGGAGCTGACAGTGGACAGGACACAGACAAGGTAAGCATTAGAAGATATACTTTGCACCCCTCCTCCCAGTTTACTACCCCCTTGACCCCAAACCTCTGCTCCCTCACACCACAGTTCCTCCTGGGGAAGGAGAGAGTTCAGTTCAGCTCCATCGCAGAAGCTGTGGCAATGCCTTCACACCAAGAGGGAATTCAGGGGAAATGCTGGAGCACTTTTGAGGGGAGCCAGAAGGAGCAGGCCAAATGCAGAGTTGGGGGAAAAGTTCTAGGGGGAGACTCGGGCCTGGGAGATGCAGGAGAAAGGTGGCTAAGGGAGGCAAGCTCTTACTGTCAGTGGGTGCTGTCAGGCCCCCCTGGGATTCTGGGGCAGTGGAATGGTCCCAGCCGGGCCCTCTAGATGAGATGGACAAAGTCCTTGGTTAATTAGGAATTGCTTTGGAGAGATCAGGGGAGGTTAGGGTAGGGCAGAATCTCTCCTTCTAGGGCAAGATTGAAGCTTTATTAGGAAAAACAAAGTTTGAGGAGAAAACAAAGACATTTGGAGTTAGCAGAGTAAATGGGAGGCTAACATACTATCCAAAGCTCTGCTTCCCATGCCCTCGCTTTTCTATTTGCTCCCTCCCTTTCCCTCTCAAGAGGTTCTCTATTGTGTGTGGCAAAGGAGAGATTTCTCAGCAAATCCACTTAAGCTTTATCCATGGTCCTCTCCCCTGTGGGCTTGGGCCCTCACCGCCCTTGTGGGCCCTCACTCCCTCTCACAGCCTGTAGTCAGCAGGAGCTGGATGGGGGAGGCCTTGGCAAGCAAAGCAAGTCCTGGATATGAACTGCCTCCCAGTGCCCGACACTGGTCAAAGCTAGTAAATGGTAACAGATTGTTCTTTGGGTAGTGGTTACTCCCTTTCCTGGCTACGGAGGAGGGGCGAGCTAGCCACAAAGCCAGCTAGCTCAGCATGGGGGCACTTCTGTGCAAGCTGTGGGAGGCAGTGAGGAAGGAGTGGGGCTCAGACTGGCAGGGAATATGTGTGTATGAGGAGGGAATGGGGAGCTTGGGCAGCATTTCAGTACCTCCTAGATTTGGTTTCTCCAGATTGATTTCATTATTTGGTTGGAAATATTATAAAATCTGAGCGTTATTTTCTAAAACTAATGTTTAACTTTGGACCATTCATGTCACTATTCTATGACTGGAAATGGAAGGGCTGACCGCACTTGTCTGTCCCTTGACTGACAGAAACCTGAGGGGTCTGCAAAGGAAGGTGACCCTGGCCTATTTTGATGGGCCTGAAGCGGGAAGAGACTGCATCAATATCAATCATCAAACAGGTCCCAATGAGCTCACTTAGTTAAAAGTTCTGACAAGCGTAAGATGTACTAAGCTCATGAGGGCAAAAGCAGATGGGTAACAACTGCTGGAGACTTGGGCTGCTTGAGAATTCTCCCAAATTGCCCGCAATTGCACTGTGCCCCCTGTGGCTCCAGAGGAACTAGCCACCATAGCCTACAGTTCCGCCCATTCACTGCAGCTTTACCAGCGGGTGTAGGATCAACCATGGCAGCGCGAGAGTGTCGAGATGCCCTCAGGGAGGGAGCAGGGGGCCCTGTGAGAAGGAAGCGGTGGTGCCCCTCAGTGAGGGTGCCAGTGGGATCAAGAATCCACCTCTGTCCTTCCCCTCACCCCAACTACTTGGCCAACACTTACGATGCTGATGGGCAAAGAAGCCTTCGAAGATCACAAAATTGTTGACCTATGAGATGAAACAAGTGAAATATACGTTGTTCATTCAGCCATTCACCACTACACGGGGACACAACCTGGTCCCATAAAAACCACAGTGGGAGGAACAGAAGCCAGCCTTCCTGTCCTTGTTGACAGACTCAGTCAAAAATTCAGACCCTGGTAAGCTGATCCTAAAAGTTGATATGGAATTATAAAGGACCTCAAATAGCCAAAACAATCTTGGAGGATTCACACTTCCTGATTTCAAAACTTACAAGGTATTGCAATCAAATGGTGTGGAAGAGGCCTGAAGCTAGACATACAGACCAATGGCATGAATAGAGTCCAGAAATAAACCCATGTGTCTACGGTCAATTTTCAAGGGAGTGCCAATACGATTCAATGGGGGGAAAACAGCTTCTTTAACAAATGGTGCTTGGACAACCGAATATTCACATGCAAGATAATGAATGTGGACCTCTACCTCACATCAGACAAAAATAATTTCAACTGGATCAAAGACCCTAAATGTTTTGGGTTTCAAAAATTTTTTTAAAGTTTATTTATTTAAGTAATCTCTGCATCCAGTGTGGGGCTCAAACTCACAATTTGGAGGATCAAGAGTCACATGCTCTTCAGACTGAGCCAGGCAGGCACCTCAAAGATCTAACTGTCAAGAGCTAAAACTATGAAACTCTTAGAAGGAAACATGGGGGCGGGGGTGCTTGGGTGGCTCAGTCAGTTGAGCGGCTGACTCTTGGTTTCGGCTCAGGTCATGATCTCAGGGTCATGAGACTGTCCGCGCTCAACTAGAAGTCTGCTTAAGATTCTTTCCCTCTGCGCCCCCACCCTGCTCATGCACTCTCTCTAAAAAAAAAAAAGAAAGAAATGGGAAAATCTTCATGACCTGGATTAGGCAATTGTTTCTTAAATATGACACCAAAGCATAAGCAACAAAAGAAAAAAAAAATAAACTGGACTTCGCCAAAAGCAAAATCTTTTGTACTTCCAAAGACACGATCAAGAAAATGAAAAAACCCACAGAATAGAAAAAATATTTGCGAACACATCAAAAACTAATGATGTAATGTATGGTGATTAACATAACAATAAAAAATTTTAAAAAATATTTGCAAATCATACATCTGATAAGGGTATTATATCTAGAACATATAAAGAACAGTTACAACTCAAGAACAAAGAACACACTTTAAAAATAAGCACAAGGGGGCGCCTGGGTGGCTCAGTCGTTAAGCGCCTGCCTTCAGCTCAGGTCACGACCCCAGGGTCCTGGGATCAAGCCCCGCATCGGGCTCCCTGTTCCGCGGGAAGCCTGCTTCTCCCTCTCCCACTCCCCCTGCTTGTGTTCCCTCTCTCGCTGTCTCTCTCTCTCTGTCAAAATAAATAAAATCTTTAAAAAAAAAAAAATAATAAGCACAAGGAGGGTGCCTGGGTGGCTCAGTTGGTTAAGTATCTGGCTCTTGATCTCAGCTCAGGTCTTGATCTCAGGGTCATGAGTTCAAGCCCCGTGCTGGGCTCCAGGCTGAGTGTAAAGCCTACTTAAAAAAAAAAATGGGCATAGGACTTGAATAAACACTTCTCTGAAGAAGATATGCAAATGGTCCATCAGCACTTGAAAAGATGCTGAACATCATTAGTCAACAAGGAGATGTAAATCAAAACTACAAAGAGATACCAGTGCATACCCACTACCATAGCTAATTAAAATATTAAAAAAAAGAAGGTGGGGCGCCTGGGTGGCTCAGTCAATTAAGCTTCTGCCTTGGGTTCGGTTTGTGATCCCAGGTCCTGGGACTGGCCCATGTCAGGCTCCCTGCTCCATGGGGAGCCTGATTCTCCCTCTCCCTCTGCCTGCCACTCCCCCTGCTTGTGCTCTCTTTCTTTCTGTCAAGTGAATGAATAAAATCTTTTTTTTTTTTTAAAGATTTTATTTATTTATTTGACAGAGAGAGAGATAGCGAGAGCAGGAACACAAACAGGGGGAGTGGGAGAGGGAGAAGCAGGCTTCCTGCTGAGCAGGGAGCCCGATGCGGGGCTCGATCCCAGGACGCCGGGATCATGACCCGAGCCGAAGGCAGACACTTAACGACTGAGCCACCCAAGCGCCCCAAGTGAATGAATAAAATCTTAAAAAAAAAAAAAGGAAAATGACAAATGTTGGTGAGGATGTTGAGAAATTGGAATACTCGTACATTGCTGGTAGAGGATGTAAAATGTTGTAGTCATTGTGGAAAAACATTCTGTCAGTTCCTCAAAAAATTAAAAGAATTACCATATGACCTAGTAATTCCACTCTTAGGTATATACCCAAGAAAACTGAAAAGATATGTGCAAACAAAATCTTACAAATATTCATCACCAAAACATGGAAACAACCAAATGTTAATCAGCTGATGAATGGATAAACAAAATGTAGTATATTCATATGATAGAATATTATTCACCCATAAAAAGGGATGTGGTACTGATATATGCTGCAACATGGATGAACCCTCTGAAAACATTATAGTAAGTGAAAGCCAAACATATTGTAGGATTCCATTTATATAAAATGTGCAGAATAAGCAAATTGCCAGAGAGCAGATTACTGGTTGACAAAGGCTGGGGAAAGGGGTATGGGAAGTGACTGCTTAATGAGTTCTGGGTTTCTCTTTGTGTGATGGAAAAGTTTTGGAATTAGCAGGGATAATCAGACAACACTGTGAATATACTAAAAACCACTGAACTGTGTATTTTAGATAGGTAAAAGAGTGCATTTTATCTCAAAAACCAAAAGTCTGTACCCTACTTTTTAGTTCTCCCAGGACCCAGGCTAATGGAGACAGGGTGTACAAAACACCAGGGAAGAAGAGGCATCCAAAACTTTCAAAACAGAAGCTTAAACATACACACATAAACACACCAGGCCAAATGGCTTAAGTATACAAATACTGAGAATAACTAAGCTTTAAGTAGGGTTCAAATGGGTGGAACTGTCAAGGGAAGACATGCTGGAGGACAGGGTGCCACTTTGATAACTAGTAATTGACTTAGAGTGATTTCATTATATTATCATATTCAATTTGGCCTTCACAACAATCCTTGGAGTCCCTGTGTTAAAGAGTAAAGGCTTGGAGACATGGCCTGCCCAAAGCCAAGTAGCTAACAAGTGACAGAACTGGGCCTCAAGCCCCAGACTCTAGCTGTAGCAGTTCAGCCAGGAATAATACAGCGTAGTCATGAAGAGTGGGCAATGGGTTAATTAATTAAATTTAAATTTAAAAAATAGCAATAAAGAAATAAATAGGGGCGCCTGGGTGGCTCAGTCTGTTAAGCGGCTGCCTTCGGCTCAGGTCATGATCCCAGTGTCCTGGGATCAAGCCCCGCATCGGGCTTCCTGCTGGGCGGGAAGCCTGCTTCTCCCTCACCCACTCCCCCTGCTTGTGTTCCCTCTCTCGCTGTGTTTCTGTCAAATAAAATCTTAAAAAAAAAAAAAAGAAACAAATAAAATGTTTAACATTTTTTAAAAAAAGAGTGGCAATGGGTTCAAATTCTTGCTCTGCCACTTATTAGCTATGTGAACTTGGTCACTAAATCTGTATAAACCTCAAATGGAGTCAATAAAAGTACCCACCTCAAAGAGATGTATAAGGATCAACTGAGATGATCCATGTAGATAGCACACAGAGCTCATGAATCATTGTTTACATGATTATTTATACTCTATGTTTTGGTCTTATAGGTTACCTGGCTATGCCTAATACTGTGCTCCTTCCACTGCTCTCCACTGCCTCTTAATGGAACAATGTACAAGGGGAGGACATTCTAAGTATAAATAGACCCTGCCTGTTTCCTGCCTTGACCCTGTCTAGCCACCCACCCTCCTCTAGAAACAAGCACATGCCCAGCACTCCTGCCACACCAAACTGCCTGCAATACCCCAGAAGATAACTGAATACCTATCTGCTTTTGCTCATGCTGGTTCCTGTATATGAAATGCACTTTAGCCTGCCCACTTGTCCACTGTCCCCATGACATTCACCTTTCAAGATTAAGCTTAAGTCAAGCCTTCCTTTACCCAATCCCCACCCCAAGGTAGCACTCACCATGTCTTTATGCCTCCTTTGTAAGCACATCAATCAAATCATATTAGAGTGGATTAAATGTCCATGCTCTGAATCCAAGGCAAACTTGTCAACCCAATCCCAACCCCTCCTGCCCATGACTTTGCTTCAGCAATTCTCCTCACGTTCTCTGACATCATCACATTTTCTCTCTACCAAGGCATTCTTATGCTGTTGGTTCTTCCAACTGAAAACAATCAACCCTCTCTTAATCCACTTTCCCTTCTAGCTCTTGCTCTTTTTCTTTGTTCCCCTTAAAGCTGCATTTTTTTTTTTTTTAAGATTTACTTATTTGAAAGGGGTACCTGGGTGGCTCAGCCAGTTAAACACCTGCCTTCGGCTCAGGTCACGATCCCGGAGTTCTCGGGTCGAGTCCTGCATCGGGCTCCCTGCCCGGGCAGGAAACCTGCTTCTCCCTCTGCCCCTCACCCCACTTGTGCGCTCACGCTCTCTCTCAAATAATAAATAAAATCTTAAAAAAAAAAAAAGATTTCCTTATTTGAGAGAGAATGAGCTTGCAGGGCGAGTGGGGGGAGGCGCTGAGGGAGAGGGAGAGAAATCCTCAAGCCGACTCCCCGTTGAGCATGGAGCCAGACAGACACAGGGCTCAATCCCAGGACCCTGAGGATCATGACCTGAGCTAAAATCAAGAGTCAGACACTTCACCGACTGAGCCACCCACATGCCCCCATTAAATCAGCATTTAAAAGAGTGGCCTGGGGCGCCTGGGTGGCTCAGTCGTTAAGCATATGCCTTCGGCTCAGGTCATGATCCCAGGATCCTGGGATCGAGTCCCACATCGGGCTCCCTGCTCCGCGGGAAGCCTGCTTCTCCCTCTCCCACTC